AAGACACAGCTAATCCTCCTCCTACCCCTGCCTCTCATGCCCAGTACATCTGTGGGAGTCTTTCAGTCTTGCTTCACACTGAAAGGCACAGTGCCTTGACCTATGAGCAGGTTGGAAGGCTCCACCTTCAGGCTGGCATGTCTTTGCCTCTGATTCTGGCAACTTGACTCACACTTTTGTGTTGAATTATGATCATGGTATATGGTTTTGTCTTTGCCGTTAAAATGTTTTATTCATTCAAGCATCATGCATTGACTTCTTTCTGTATTTCTGGCAACATGTTGGGTGCAAGGGTGAATAGTATAGTTAATCTTGGAAGTTAATACAGTTAAACTTGAAAGCTCTTTGTTAACTTGAATTAGAAATAAGCAAGGACATAATTACTGTTTCATGTGTCCAGGTGCCATAATAGAGGTCAGGGACAAAGTTCTGTGATAATGCAGAGCAGGGGGTAATGTTATGAGTTGGTGACTCTTATTAACCAGTATTAATCATGGATATAATTTTTTTATGAGTCAGGAATACAACCAAGGTCCTTATTTTACTTTTCTTGGTATTCCCAGCACAAGGCTTGGCATATTAGTAGGTGGTTATTAAATACTTGATAACAAAATGAGTGATGCTTTTTCTTATGAGAGAAAATAAATGTTTTTAGAAGAGTCAGCTTTATACCACAGTTTCAGGGAATGAATTGTGATGAAAAGTGAAGATTGCTTTTACTTGAAAGAGGCTGACAAATTTCCCAGGCCCGGGATCACTTTATGTGGTGCATGATTTAAGGGTGAGTGAGCATGCCAAAGCGCTCCACTTGAGCTGAGTGATGGGGAATGAGTTGTGGAGCTGTGGTCTTAGATGGTATTTTGTGAAAAATAGTAGGAGATTTATGACTATTAAACAACTTTGTAGCCTCCCCTTCTTGTTTTGAAGCCTGCCAAATCTCTTCTCCTGTGGTCTGTATCATGTTCCTTCAGGGCATCCGTGATGTTCAGAAATACCCACTGGAATGCAGGTTTCCATGGAATGCACCCAATGGGCAGGGGCTTGCATTTTACACACACATCCGAAGACATTTGTTTTCTGTAACCACTGAGTGAAATTCTCACTTTGCAAGTCTCTTGTAGAATGTACTGTACTTTCCTTGAATTTTTTCCAACGAGGTTGCCAAAGTTCTACTTTCCTTCCTGCATTATGGAAATGGCAGAGTGCAGTATATTAGTGACTATTAGCATTATTGATGTGAGTTTAAAAAATCATTAGCAACTCTCAAACTGTGAGTAGGAGAAGAGTACAGAAACCCTCAGCGTGCTCTGACAAATCTGAAGCAGAAGGACTTACCAGCCTGAGAGGATTCCAAGCCTTTACTATTATTTATCAGCTTTTCCCATTTTATTGTCACACTCAATAGCTTTAGAAGAAACAGATTTTTCATAACAAAAAGTTAACCAGACATGGCCCTAGTCCATGTTGTGCAAGTATTGGAAAATTGTTGGAGAAACTTTCCTCTAATTATGGGTTCATATCAACATAGGACTGTATGGATCAGAGAGGAGTCCTTGTTCTTTTCAATGTTTGTGTTTATTTTGGAGAAATTTTAAAAATATACAAAAGTTTTAAAAATTTGGTAATTTTCTAATATTTTGACATATTTGTTTCAAGGCATCTCTAAATAAAAATAAATAAACCTTATATAGAAAAGAGAATTCCCCCCCCCCCCCCCATTGCATTAGCTCTAATCCTATAACTCTGACCACTGGCAGAGGCAACCATTTTCATGAATTTAATGTATAACTTTTATAATTTTAAATGTTTACAGATACACATGAGATCAAAGAACTACATATTTACATAAATAATATTATACTACATTTATCATTTTGCAACTTGCCTTTCACTCTGCATTAAATTTTCAGACCTCCTCAAATTGAGATGGATAAATCAGGTTTATTGCTCTTAAATACTAAATATTATTCCAGCATATGGATATACAACATTTTACTTATTCATCTTCCTCATTGACAGACGCTTGAATTATTTCCAATTTGTTCTGTTATAAATAATGCTGCATTATTTATGTTCCACCTTACAGACCTGAGTGAAATTTTTCATAGGGTATATTTTAGATGGAATTGCTGTCCCAATTTTCAATTTTATACATATTGCTAAATTACTCTCCAAAGTATTTGAACCAATGAACATTCCTGCTGGCAAGGAATGAGAAGATGGGAATTCTGTTTCCTTTCATTCTCTGTAGCACTTGAGAGACTTAAATGTTTGCACTGAGATGGGTGAAAAAGATTGTCTTGTTGTTCTAATTTGCATCCCCTTAAATCCTAGTAAATTTGACCATCTTCTCTTTTATCTATTGACCATTCAGGTTTTCTCTTGTAATTACCTGACATTTCCTTTGTCCAGTTTTCTATTGTAATTTAATAAGGGGCATATGCATTCTGGATACTAATATTTTATTGTATGTTTTATAAATATCCTTTACCAGGAGTGATTTAAAAAGTAAAATGTAAAAGTATAATTCTTGCCATAGGTAGTTAGGAAATTTGGTAAGGACTCAAAGATTGGAGAGTACTAGTATTTGTAATTATGAAGATGCGGATTTACCCAAATTTCTCTGTCCTCAATTTAGCCATATCTTCTTAATCTAGGTAAAATCCACATTATTTAAATCACCCCACCTCTGTTTCTATTATCTCATCATTGTTATACTATAGTTATACTGCTTCAGTTTTAAGGGGAGTTCTTTATTCTTAGACAGGTAGCATAGAACTTAAGACATTGTCTTGTCCATTTCTTTTATGTGATAATTGTGTTCTTCTGAATCATGCTTGTAAGCATAACATTCAGAGACCAAGGGTGTATATCACTATGAGGCGATTACATGAGCTTCATTCTGATAAAAGCCAAGTCCAAGGCGTGGTACTTAGAGTCTTGATTGGTGGTAGTTTTCTTAAACATCTGGCCATGGAAGTCCCACCAAAAGTCAGAATTGGCAACATTGTTCTTTCCTGGATTCTCTTCCATGACTTGAGTTTATAAATGGACACTGAGCAGAAAAGTAATTAAATGGTAGGCATAGAATGATGACTGCAAGACAGAACTCAAGCTGCACAATTTTTGCTTTGACTACAATTGGAAATAAAACTAAATAGTTATTTTATCCTTGGTTACAAAGCTCTAATGTTTTGCCCAGTCAGGGGTACTTGCTGAAAGGTAGTTTCTTCCAGTAATTTTAGGAAAAGCTGTCATTAAATTGTCAACAGCCCAAATTGAGAATAAAAGTACTAAGAAATATCACAATATAGCAACCTAAGAATCAGATTGGAATTTTAGGCTTTTTTAGCAGTGAGGTGGAGCAGAAACATTGGCAGAGAAAGATGCTCCGGCCTCTTAGAAAGGAGTGTGGTAGATCTGTGGAAAGACGGCCTCCGTACCCCAGCCCATATGTCCTGCCTCAAGCATCAGAATAGAGGTCATTTTCAGAACACTGTCCTTGTGTCTCATTTATCACAGAGGGATTACAGGAGACCTTGAATGCAAATGGAGAAACACATGGTGACTCTAGTATTTGAATTTTAATCATATTTCTGACCCCTTTTATATCATTGCAGCATCCTCGATGTCTAATGATGTAGTACCTAGCAAGTCTTATCTACTTTTTAAAACATTTTTCTTGGTGACTGAACTTTTATCTTTCTGGACCCCATACCCTTGCATCAAGGTTAAACACCATGTATTTCCCTTGAAGCTGGAGAGAAGTAATGCTACCTGAAATCTGTCTCCACCTTAGGGACAGAGCTTCTGATCTCGCACCATTCAAAACTCTTTATACAAGTCTCCACTGAAAGCTGCTTAATCAAACATCTCAAAGGTCAGAAAGGGGGGTTAAAGGGTTTTTCTAGCAAGTAGGCCTAATCTCCGACTTAGTTTTGATTCCTATAATGTAGATAATCTCTTTGGAGGAAAGGCCTGCTCCTAGCAGGGCAAATATATCCCATAGAATGTATTTCCTCTTGCAGAAGGAAAATGTAGCATTAATGAAATTTACTTTTTCATGAATCTTTGAAAGGTTGTAAGCTTAGAATTTTGATCCTAGCAGATGTTCTTCTTTTGGGATATTAAAAAAAAAGTAGCATTTGATTCAGAAGTCTCAATGAGAGTTGCAAGGGTGATGCTTTTGCTGTAAGAAGCCACATTCTGAGTGTGACACTGGTCATCGGTTCTAAGTGACAACTGACTTCACAGCCGTGGTCCTTTCTTCCTGCCTTACCCTTCTTGGAAGTAGAGCAAGGCAAAGAGAGAGTTAGCAGCCTGGGTCACACCATATATAGAGTTTGATGGTTAAAGAGCTATTTTTGTACAATAAAAAAAAAAGCATCGTCATAGACGTATTTCATATCATTTTCTTATAGGCCTTGCAATAGCAAAGTTTTGTTGATAACCATTATATATATTCCAATTTCACTTGGGTTTCTCTTGTGAAATTCAGCCAGCAACCCCGATTGCACTGTCTGTTATGGCTTCTATCCTTTCACATGATCACTTCATACTGTGGATTCTTAAGTCTTCATCCAGGCCACTGGGCCCACGTAAACCAGCCAAGTTTTTCCCTTCTTCACTGGTTTCCATAGAAATCTACTCACAGTGAGCATTTAATCTGTGGGAATTACTAGAAGAAGGCACATGACAGAAAACTAAGTCTGCATCATTTCCTGCCTTCAATCTCTCTTTTCTCCCTTTTCATTCAATTCAGCACAATGAACAAATAGCCCTTTCTCTCAGAGCCCTTCCTCCTATAGGCTCCTCGAAGCTTTGCAGTCTACCCTGCACTCACCAGCATCTCACCTCAACTCAGACAACTCTTGCTTCCTAAGAAGAGTCTGGGTCAATACTGTTTTTTGCAACCCCAGATCCTAAGGAGACATGTTTGGTAAGCAAAGGTATTTAGTGTTTGGTGTTGCTTCACCTTGATATTTGCTTTTATCATGCAGGCTTCCAGTGACAGCGCGGCTGCCCCTCCAGAGTGCCACTACACACCCCTGCCTTCTGCTTCCAGGGAACTCACCAGTCACCGAGGTAGGAACACAGCTTTTCTTGCTCTCCTCTGTTACAGGGAAGGACACCTGGCTGTGTATGCTCTGGGCCTTGTTACTGCTGCCTCGGTACTTTAGCAAGAACACAGTGCTTTTCAGTCCTTAATGAGAAAACCGTACCTGTCAGCTCTAGCAACTTGAATTCATATTAAACAGAATTTAGTGGCAGTCCACTGGGAAGGCAAATAAATCCATGGTATAATATAATTTGGTGAATTTTTATTTTAAAAAAAGAGTTTATAGTACTTAAAAATTACTAAGATAATTACCTCCAGCAAAAGGAATGAAGAGAAATTAGAAAGCTCACTAATATTTGAAAAAGTGTCATTGTTTAGGAGTATAATAGTTGAAATCTGTAATTTAAAAATAAACGAACGGCATATGACAGCTAAAAGGAGTTTCAATTTGCCTGGAAATATTGAAGAGAATCCATCTGTAGTTTTCCCTGAATTCTCTGATCCCCAAAACAATTTGGCTTCCCCAGTTTTTCCAAAGCCTTGAATTCCTACTGCCATCTGTAGAGTCGGTATGGAATATAATTTAACAATGTCTTATCCCTAAGCTGGCTGCTTAGGCCAAGGACTATGTGATCCCATTTGTTGAAACTGGTTAGGACAGGATGAGGCCCTGTGGTGTAACCTGTTTACCTCCTCTTAGCCCAGTCATGACTACAGCCACGTTTCCTAATTGTGAACCTACCTTCCAAGGGTAAGTAAGAACAGGCTTAGACTGAGGGCATTGCATACTTTAAAATTGTTTCCCCAAGCAGCAAATTCCCTTTGTCCATGCAGTGGTCACTTAGTAAGGATGGTCCAGCTTTGTCATCCCAGCTACACTGAAGAGTCAGTGGGTAGGAGAAAAGGCTGTAGAGATGCCCAGAAAGGGGTGAGCTGGTCCTCTGAGAACATGTGGGCTCTGGGCATATGGCGCATTTCTGTAGAAAATGGTCCAGAGGTCATGCCAGGTTCCTGTTGTCTGTGACTTGGGCTTGTGTTGCATCTTTGAGGTCTGGGCACAGTAGAACTTTCCTACATTTAAATATACATTGTTCCATTAGGGTTCAATTGTGATACAGTTCATTGCATGTCAATTTTGTGAAAAATCAATTTTGCTCCAAGTCAGGTAGAATAAATTGCTGCCAACATGTTATATTTTAAGAGGCGTGAATTGGTCTCCTTCACTAAATGTCCTTATGAAGGTTTTGAACACATCTCTTTAGAGACATTTTTTCAAATTCCCCTAGGATAATAGTAATGCCTAATCTAGAAAGAATAACAAATTAACCTTAGCATCATATCATCATGGGTTTATCTATTTGTTTTTGGTAGTTGGATGAAGGTGATTTTACTGTATATAGCCTGTTGAATACACTGCATAGGAACTGAAATCTCAGACTCCTTGTAAAAGTTGATATGACCATGAAATTGAGATTTCACAATAGGAGGATTCCATCAGATAAGTGTTATTCATGAATAAGATAAAGATCCTCTGTCATTGTAACAGTCAAGTAATAAATCTGAACCTTAAAGAGATGGGATATAAGAAAATAAGTTTTGAAGATATTTTGAGTAATATTTGGAATATGGAAATTTTTGCCTAAGGTGGTTAGAGTGAAAATAGGTGCTCTTAGATGACATCAGAGCCCAGCATCAATGGAAAAAATGTTATTTAAAGGAAGCCAACAGCTGGTGTCTTGATTTTTCTGAAGAACATTTCTATACATTTATTGCACATGGTGCCTGATCAGTGCTAAGGACTCGGGTGGTGGAAAAAGCAAGAAAGCATCATGAAATGATGGCCAGGTTTTTAGGGCCTTTATACATGAGGAAACCAGGAAGAGAGAGGCAAAGAGGCTCAGTAAGGCCGAATTATTGGACTGATCTATGTGGGGGAAAGATGAGACTGATATATTTCAGCTTGGCAGGAATCATACAATCACCAATGGGAAAAGCCATATATTTTGGCACCCAGAATGAAACCACTTAGTGTCATCTTTTAAAAAAATATTTAAGTTAAAAAAATTATTCTAAATTTCTGATCATATGAATTGGCAAGCTATTTGAGTGTCATTGATTAATACCCTCATGGAAAAAGCTTACAAACATTTACTCAGATAACTACTTTCACATTGTGAAGGCAGGTTACATCACTTCTCTCCCAGGTGAAATCCTCCATGGATCTGAAATTTGGTCCATAAAACCTTAAGTTCTATTTGCAAATAATGTTTGATTCCTCTAGTTCCCAATCTCTTTTCATTCCGCACCAACAACTACACAAACTATCGGGCAGTAGTTCATGTGAAAATTGCTATTTTTTGATACATGTCATTTCCCCTTTACTTGTCCTTTTATGTAACTTCCAATGTCGAGTTTGATGGGCCTAAGATTCATGTCCTAAGGACTCTAAATTCAAATGCAAGAAAAGTCAGGGCCCAGGATAATGGTCAAGAGATAGGGGACTCTATTTTTCCAGTGATGTGCAGTACTTCCTGCTTCCTGGATGAAACTTTTTTCTGATCTTATCTGTTTTTATTTTTCTCCTCTTGAGGTACTTATAATGTTTATGTCTATATCTTCCTTAGTGCAGTTGTTCCTAGTCTGCTTTGTCTGACAGAGGTCAGGTAAAGGTACATCTTGAACTTCTCACAAATGAAAGCTCCCTGAGGGGCTGTACAGATTTGAACCTGTCTCCCCTCTCACATTACTGATTCCTACTCATTCTTCAGGTATCGGCTTAAGTATCACAGCTCCAAGGGGATTCTCTGATCCCACCCTGCACATTTGTATTAGGTTGGGTTTACCTTTGCAGGGACTGTCTTCCTAGATAGGCTTTAAGCTCTTAGGAAGAGTGGAGGAGATTGTGTCTGTTTGCTCACCACTATATATGCAGTGCCTCCTACTTAATAGAAATTCAGAAAATATTTGTTCAGTAAATGATAAGTGATGGACACCTGGGGGAAAGTCAGTAACTCAGATACCTCTGCAAGGTAGCTTGACTGTATCTGAGAAAAGGGACCCATCTTTCCTTGGGGAAGGACCCATCTATACCGAAGGGAATAGCCAACCGTGTGGACCTCAGACCACAGTTCTGCTGCTCTCAGAAACCCAGATTTTGTGGATGGAAGCCATGTCTATTGATTCAATGCCAGACAGCATTTAGCAACATTACATAACTTTTGAGTAGATAATTATTTTAATGTCATAGTTTTTAAACTCTGGTGTTATGATAGTAGAAAGGGAGTAGGACAAATGGAAGCAACTAATGAAACTTTTACTAGAACAGAGGCTCTCAAAGAAGGGCCTGAACACTCAATATGATGCAGGTTGTGCTGTAGTTAAGGTTTTAGAAGGCTCCATCTGAGTCTCTGTGAAAATTCTGCTCTAGGCCTGAGCATGTCTTCAGAGTGCAGGGACATGGGGCTGTGTCAGTGATCTCAGCTGCTACTGACTGGCAGTCCACGTACTATATGTGGGTATCCACGTTATGAAGAATGGTGAAATGTTTGCTGGAGAAATGTCTCTAAATATGCCATGTGCACGGGCCATATTTCCACTCTTTATCTGGTGGCTTTTAGAAGTAGAATTTTCATTTATATAGACCATTGTGTCTTTTGGGGAAGACATTTTTATTTGGAGCACAGGCCATGTCATCCTTAAGACAACCCGATAAAGTGGGAATGTTATCATTCTCATTTAACAGAGGAAGACCCAAGAATTTCTAGAGGAGACTGAGTCACTCAGTAACAGAGGCAAGGGAAAAAAGTGAAGCTCCCTGTTCTTGATTCCCAGGCCACTCCTGACATTTGAAGCGAATGCAGGACTGACTGTGGCATTGAGCTGGAGGGAAGAGGAGAGAAAGTGCAGGGAGGGGCACAGCCTGGAAATGTCCACTGCTGGTGGATTTCCATAGCCTGTGCTAAGGCTGCAGAGAAGCAGGCATTGCCTATTTCTGTCAAAATAATTGCCTGCTATGCTCCTCCCCTTCTTTTAAATTACACATCTATCAGTTCTGGCACAGAGAAAGTTTGAGAAACCAGAGAGGAAAATACGATGATATCAGTCTGAATTAAGACAGGGAAAATAGAAGACACACTATATATTCAAATTATGAAGGGTTTTACTGTAAGGAATGGGAGTCTTACACAATCAGGGAAGGACTGACTCAGGGAAACTGATACCTAGAGTCTCAGGTATCAGTCTGGGTATCTCAGGAACCCCCAGAAATCTCCTACTGAATTCTACACAAAATGGGGGTGATTCTCAAGAAATTCACATGGATACTGCTTCAAACAGTAGGACTCTCTATACATTGCCCTGCCCTTCCTTCTCTCTGGATTTCCAAATCTTACTCCAGTATCTCTCTTTGGCCCAGTCTAACCTAGGACTGTTTGCCCAGAGAATTCTGGGAAATGTAGTTTTCAGGTTTTCTTCTGAGTTGCAGAAGAGACCTTAGAAGAGGGGGTGGTAATACCTAGTTAAAATGTGCAATCCAGCACATCTACCATAATCCTACCTCACCAACAGTTATCATGCTGAAGGTCCCATTCCTGTTTATTTGCACAAGTATTTTGCAAAGTAATTGTGAGCCCAATAAAAATCTCTAAATTATTAATTTTTTCCCGATGCTTATATAGTCTTGAAGATGGGCCATAGTTAGTTAGCTTGTCATATCAAAAACTGGAATTTAAATGTATAAAAGAAAGAAAGCAAGAAACCAGGAGGAAATCTGCTATGAAAACTTGCTTGGAGATGATATCTGTCCTGCCTCTATCCATCCTTGGCAATCTTGCTATTCTATTTATTGACACAGTTGTTAGGTGCTTATCCTCTTCTCCAACAAGGGGCTTGGTCTATTTGTGTTTGAAATTGATTGCTGGGACTGTCAGAGAGTGATTTACATAGCAACTTATCATAATTAGTTATTGTTTGCAGTTTCCTTAATGTGAATTGCATTTTATGCTTAGCAATTGATTTTTCTGTATAT